GATCTGGAGGCCTCTCAGGACAGGCTACCACAGGATGGTAGGCCTCCAGAGCGGCTCCCGTTTCAGGCACCATGGCGGAGCAGCCAGACTGGGAAGCCATGGCGGATCAGACAGTTCAGGATGGAGCTGGACTGGAGCCCTCCTTCTGCTGGACGTGGGAACTGGAGCCTTCCTTCTGCTGGACGTGGGAACTGGAGCCCTCCTTGGGCAGGAAGTGGGGACTGGCCCTCTGTGGGCTAAACTCAGGAACTGGAGCCCTCTTAGGGCTGGAACCCACACTGGAGCGGGCCCTGGGGTTGGAGCCGACACTGGAGCAAGCTCTGGGGCTAGGATGAGGGCGGAGAACAGTCTTTTCCTCCTCATACTCCTCCCTTGGTTAAGGGAGAACGGCGCGGCCGGCGGGCTTGACTGAGGAAAGGCCGGCGGGCTGGAGAGAGCCGCGGCCGGCGGGCTGGTTCTGACTCGGGACAGGACGCTCTCCAGACAAAGGAGGATCCCTTCCCTCCAGCGATGAAGCGTGCAGCGATCTCCATAATCGCGGGGGGGAAATGGAAAACAAAAACACTTTCAAAACACCGAAAACAAAAACAGGGAGAAGAGGCACCGCTTACTTTCTGTTAGGTGCTGTCTTCTGTCACGGTGTGCCTACTGTGAGGAGCGAGGAACAAGGAGCGAGGAATGAGGAGAACGCAGGAGAATCATAATCAACAGTCTTTATTAATCCAAACAGAACAAGGAACACACACATAGGAACGGGGATCGACGTTTAGGACAGCACACTCGACTCAGGAAACACAGGGCTTAAATATACATGGAAACTAATGAGGCAACACCTGGGATCAATAATCCTAATAAGGACAGGGACGGGAAGGACCAAATAAGGGCAGGAGGAACACGGGTGGAAAAAAACAGGACATGGAGCACGTGGGGAACAAAACACAAAACACGGAACACAGGACAGGAACAGAGTCTGACATAATGAGGGTGACAATTTTCAATTTTATTTGAGTAAACCTTCCCTTTAAGAAGATATGTATAATGTGATCTGTTAATAGACTGTGACACTTAACAAACATGGATAACATGAATAAGTATTTATTATCATGGCCAAAACTGTAAATTGAATTTTTAAGGTGGCCAGTTCACTTGCTTTTGCTTTCCCCATTACTGACTGTTGATTGAGTAATTTGAAGTATGTTTCCATATCCACTTCATATGAGATACATATGCATTGCTAAAAATGGATTTTAGCAAATGGCTGCAATATAACAAAGAGTGAAAAATTTAAGGGGGTCTGAATACTTTCCGTACCCACTGTATATCAAATAAATACAATACATACAACCATGTGAAAAAGAAAGGACACCCTGTTGAATTCCATCAGGACATAATAAAACATCATCTGGTCCTTGGCAGGTCTTAACATTTAGAAAATAAAACCTCAGATGAACAACAACACATGACATATCACACCGTTTCATTATTTATTTAGCAAAAATAAATCCAATATGGAAAAGCCATGTGTGACAAACTAAGGACACCCTTTGATTTAATAGCTTGTAGATCCACTTTAAGCAGCAATAACTTAAAGTAATAATTTTCTTTATGACTTTATCAGTCTCTCACATCGTTCTGGAGGAATTCTGGCCCACTCTTCTTTACAACGTTGCTCCAGACACTTTATACCTTTATCACCACTACCTCTACATACTTAACACTCAGATATGACTTATAGTAGTACACATTTTTTAATTTAATATTCATAATATTTATACTACTAGTCTGCTGACTTACTGTATAGCACGTCACTTTTCTATACCACTGCCTTGATCCTGTTAATAACAGCTCAATCTAACTCACTATCTCAGCCTTATCACAAGCATTGTCCAGTGCACCCAATGTACTGTAAGCTGTGCAACTGACAAATGCAACCTGGTCTCATGGCAAAAACGTACCCGGGGGCACATTTTCGCGAGACATTGAAACTGCGGCGAAACGTGCAGTAAGGTACGTAAAAACGGTGTTGCAGAAAAGCACCCAGAGGTACGTATTTTTATGAGACTGGGTTGGACAAATAAATAACCTTTGACTCATGAAGGAAAAATGCCCCCCCCAAAAAAACAGAGCTCTGACTAGGAAGCAGAATCTAAACTAAACTATCAAAGGAAAAGAAAAGAAAATCAACCCAGCAACAGAAATCTATTCATTTTAACAAATTAATTTAACAGGCTTCCTCCAATTAAAACATTTCTAAGTTTGAAACTGAACTAAACCCAAAGCAGAACATCATTGAGGATCTTGTGAACTTACATGACAAAGAAGTGTTTTAAGTATTTTCCAAACGCATACCATTTACTGTAAGTGCCCACTCACAAAAAAAAAAAAAAAATCTGCATTAACTTGCTGCATTATCCTGCCAGGTAAATGCCTTGTTTATTGAAAATTATTTAATAATTACGTTATTATAAAAAGTATACTTTAGCATTGCACAATTCCAGAAGCAACTATACCTTGAATTAAGGAGTCTATTTGTAATCATTGTTGTGAAGTAATGAGCCTAACCCTCAGTTTTCTGCAGCTATAATCAGTGCATCAGATCAAAAAATTATAGATGATTCTGTAACTGCAGATATTTTGTGGTCCCATTAGTGGCAAAAATGGGAAAATAATTACTGATTTTCTGTGTTTATGATGATTTTACTGTCTTATGAAATACATCTGCATGTCGTATTTTATAATTTGATATGTGTTTAAATGTTTGCTTTGTTTGCAAACACATTAGTTATAACATACTTGCAGTTGGACAAATCAGAATTATTTTCTGACTATTTTCCACTTTAGAATAATCATACACTCATATAACTTAACAACACTGTACAATGTGGTGAGAAAAACACGTGACACTAATCTTATATTTGAGCTTCTTCTTTATCTAGATTCCAGTTCTTCATGTCATAAACTAAGACAGCATGAAGAGAAGAACAATTTAATCAGTGCAACACACCTTGTTTCACGGATTACAGAGCATAACTTCACAAAGCGACAAGAATAATGGGAGGTACGAAATGATGGCATTAACTGTATAATCAATTCGTATAATTGTAATGGTTTATTTCAGTGAAATCTACAAGTGCAATTTTGCACTGTAAATTACAAATAATGAAAAGTTATGGAAAACGAGAGCCTACATTTTATTTGATTGAAATCAATCAGTTTGGTTAACTACATTAAGTGATGTTTAATTAAAAAAAAAATTTTCTGCTAAGTGCAACTGTTATGTGGGTTTTATGGTTTATATATTCACTTTTGTTCTATTGTTTAAGTCTCTTTTAAGTGTCAACTGCCACAATTGTCATTTGTCAATCTGATAACATTTAAATCTGTTTATTTAAATGTTATTTTAATAAAGTTGGGATTTGATGAAAGATTTGCTGAGCTATTGTACACTGAGTGTTTGTATAAATCATGTATGATAAATCTGCACAAGAAGTCTTAAAACTACCAATTACCACATACCTTTAGACACAGATTTATTTGGGGAAATGTAATATTCAGTGAGGGCTTTATGAAAGAACTTTGGCAAACCAACTACACACAACACGACTGCTTTAGAAATCTCAAATTTTCTGTCCTGTTCTCATTATGAAATTAATTCTGCTTCAGAAATTTATTTTACACTCTAGAGGATATTGAGCCATTTTACAAATACAGGGAACAAGCTGGAACGACAAAGGCATCTTTCAAAAGACAGAATACGTTTTTTTCAGGAAAATTGCTTTAATTTCTTTAAAGGGTTTTTACCATCTAGACAATATATAACTAAAAATGTTATTCATTTATTTAATGTGATTACAAATACACTTTTTATTTATGCTACTCAAGAAGTTCCAATTTGATCTGAAGACAGCTTTATAAAAATTATCTAGAAATACAAATCTATGATCAGATTCTTGCAGATCTCGTGGCACAGTGAAAGTGAAACTAAACACAGTATAAAATACCCAACCAAAGAAATCCTGTTTAAACTGAACACATGTTTCTGATCATGATCACAGATGAATGTTTGATAAAGTAAAGCTGATCAGATGAGAAGACTCAGTTAATCATTTTAATAAACCAGTTTACTCAACTCTGTTTCAGTAGATTGGACTTTGTAAATGCACCCTAACAAGATTTGCTTTCTACTTTAAAATTCAGTAGGCTTTTAAATTATTCAAAATAAATAAATAATCATATTAAAGGAATAATTCTGTTAAAGTCTGTCTTTATTCATCCTCAAAGGGAGTAGCTGTTGTAATCGAACCCTGTTTGGTTTAAGCTGCTAATAAACAATATTTGTGATTAAGACAGAAAATAATCATAACTACTGTTACAGCATAGACAAGCCTAACATAATTATATGACACAGTCTTTCTGATCTTTCTGGAGATAACAGTAATTACTAATTGGTGCACATCAAAATCATAAAATGCCAAAACAAAAACCTTGCTAGAGATTATTCGTTGAAATTCAATATTGTGAAGCAGGAGTCCAACATGGTGTGTCCTACAAAACCACCTTTAACCACACAGCAAGTGCACAATACTAGTCTTCCTGTATATCAACAAAAGCTTAACAGTACTCCTGTATGTTTTATTTAAAAAAGAATGCAGACTGATAAATGAAGAATGTCTGAAAAGCAAAACAAAACAGAAGGAAAAGAAACCAGCATAGCAGTCATGCCAGACTGTCATTGCTCTCCATAAATAACCTGTCGGTGAAGAAACACACCATCACACCACACCTGAAATGCAAAGAAACCTGTATTCACAACTAATTGACTGTATCACACCATTTTGGTACTGTAAATATGTAAATAAATACTGGCATGCACTTCCTAATCTTTCAAATCACATGACAAACTGAACACAACTGATATTATGCCTACTGGAAATCCCAAAGCATGAAACGTCATCTTCTCATACTAAAGAATGGTCTGCCTTTTATAAGAGACTGAATATCACTGTTGACGTCAACAGCAACAAAACCAAAGACAAAGAGCTGAAGAAGTGCTATGAATGTCAGGTGGTCTACGGTACGACTGTCAGTTTTGCAGCTGATTGGCTGAGACAACGTGTTCATATACAAGACTTGAAACCTAACAGAGAGTTTCAGTGTGTTATAGTGGATGAGGTGGACTCATTAATGCTGGACAAAGGTCTTGAAGTGGTTTATTTGAGCACTGAGATTCCTCTAATGGAATCTCTCAATGCAATATTGGCAAAGATCTGGTTTGTCATCAATCAGCTGAAGCGTTTAGACACTGGAGAGATTTTAGGCCCCATTCAGCTCCTCTCTCAGCTTCTGTCTGAAATCATTACTGAAAATAAAAGCATTGATCAACTCAATATTGTGCAGATGGCTGTGAAATCAGGAATTAAGCCTATAAAAACTAAGCAAATGCAAGAAAACATGACACATGTTCTAAAACAGCTTGATAATGCAAGTGTTGTGCAAATGGTGGCATTTTTAACCATGTTTGTGGGAAAATTTCCTGAGCATTTCTTTAAACTGTACCAGGAAGCGCCTGATGGGACTTTACAGAAACTGAATGAATTCAGTTCCACAGGTACAAATAAAAGACAAGAAATATCTGTTCTGCTCCTCGGAAATGGACAATGTCGTTTAGTGTACTATGAGGAGGACTCTCTAGTTAAATCATTGGGTAAAATGATTAAAAAGCATTATCAGTCTGAGGCAATAAAGGAACCAAAAGAATCTTGTATCCCAGACCTTCAAGATCTCATCAATGGGAACGTACAAACTTGGATTGAAAATGCTCTGCTAGCTACAAAAAGGAATCTCGGCCATGAATATGTCCTTCATGGAGATGGAGTCGCTCCTGTCGATTACAAATGCACTGGTGTCGTGCAGAACAACATGAGATGGGGGGAAGGACTTCAGCAGTTTCTGGAGATGAAACACCAAACTAAACTCTCCAACATGAGTCTAATAACAAACTTCATGTCTAATTTTGGCTTATTTAAGAAATACAAAAAAAGCGTCTATGGGATCACAGGAACTTTGGGGGACCAAACAGAGCTTGACATGCTGAAGAAACTCTACAATGGCATTGAGACGTGTAAGATCCCTTTATTTAGACAAAGGAAACTTTATGAGTTGGAGGGTTTGGTGATAGCTGAAGAAGACGAGTGGATCAGAACCGTCTGTAATGTTGTTAAGCATCAAGTGATCTCCACAGTTTATCGAGGTCCACGAGCAGCTCTCGTCATCTGTGAAACCATCAATCATGCAGAAATATTTCACAAGACTCTTAAAAATAAACTAAACAGAAAACTAAAACTATATGTAAATAACAACATGAATAACTCTACAATAATAAATAAAACTGTCCAAGCAGGGGACGTCATCATTGCAACTAATCTAGCAGGTCGAGGTACAGACCTAAAGGTCAGTGAAAGTGTAAATGAGGCTGGAGGTCTGTTTGTGGTGCAAACCTTCTTACCTCTGAACGTCCGTGTCGAACAGCAAGCATTTGGAAGAACGGCTCGTCAAGGGAGTCCAGGATCTGCTCAACTCATCATGTGTGCCAGTCATTTCTCTGACTCTGTAAAAAGGGTGATGGCATCTTCCACTAACTTACTTGACCCTCTGTGTTGTTTAATAAAGGAGATGTCACATTGTTTCACAGAAGAACTATTTGTTGAAGCAGTTAATCAGTACCTGGAAAATCACAGCTCTCCTAATCATGAGGCGATGGTCTCTGCCCTAACAGCTGTCTTAACCATGAATTCATATCCATTTCAGGAAAGTAATCTGGAACAGGCAAAAGTCGCCAGAAACACTGAGGTTGAGATTAGGCTCTCTGGGTTTCTTAAAGACATTCAACAAATCATAAAAAAGGAAGAGCTTTTTTCTGTCTACCTTGATGTCTTGGACAACATTTACAAAGACATCTATGTCTTTCTTTCCAACCAGCTTGATGTAATCGTGTCCTCTCTTAATGAGTGCTGGGGTTCGTGGCTCCTGGTGCACTTTAGTGAGGAAAAGGACATTGAAATGATGAAGGAACATCTGAAGGTAGCCTTGATGACTGCAAACCTAAAGCTTTTGACTAAACAGTCTCCATCCTCCATGGTCTACTATTACATCAGGTCTGGAAACAATCTCCGTGAGAAAGGATACCTTACTGAGAGCATTGAGATGTTCACCAAAGCTTTGGAGGATGGTGCATCTGGGGAGATTATTCCTCTCTATAATCGTGCACTGACCACTATTAAGAAGAAAGACACTGGTTATATCACTCAAGCATTGGCTGATCTAGAAAAGGCTGACAAGGCAATAAACTCATACAAGTCTCATCTGGCACAGATTCTAAAATATGCAGAATTATCAAGCCAGGAGCAGAAAGTAGAAGTTAATACTTTGCTCACCAAACAGTTTCAAGTGAAGTGTATGGTTTTAGAACAACTCAAGATGAACATTCAAGATGCTGTAGTGATGTTGAAGAGAGCCGAAAGCAGAGGAGGAAATGTAAAACTGACTGAAAAACTTACATTTTTTCTTGCAGAACACTTTATTTTTCGTTCTCCAAGACTTCTGAAAGAGCTGCCAATGGAATATGAATATGTCAAGTCACTGGGTCTTGACACCATTTTCTCTTTGGATACCATATTTTCATTCAGTGGATTTTTGTCAAAGATGATAAAAGTGTTTTAAAATATGACACTACTTTCAGATATCTAAACAAACAAGATATGCTGTCAGTCCTTAGTTGTCAAATTTACATTAGCAACAAAGTGCATCATATCTTTAATCTATTGCACAGTACAAATAAATAAATATATCTATATATAAGTTGTAACATTAGTTCTTCATGCAGACACATATTTCACACTCAATGTCCTTCTGAAAATTATTATTTAAAGTTAAAATTGCACTTGATGAAAGATGTTATGAATGCTGCCTGAACAAAAAAGTATGTTCTTTCAATATTGTACTATACCATGTTTGGGGTTAAAAACAGAAAGACATTTTGTTGTGAAATGATGTACACAATTTTATGACGTTCTGAATGTTTGTGATTTTGTTAAATACACTGGTGTTTAAGGAATAGTAATTCTTTCAATGAAAATCTTGAGATTGACATCCCGTGGTAACTAGGATTTACACAAGCTTCAGTCTGGATCCAGAACACCTGAGAAGAGATGATGCCAACCCTGAAACAACATACAGAACTACCACATTTTGCTATAAATTTGATTGCATCATATAATAATTGCCGCAGTTTATATTTGTCATTTTCCTTTTGTAAGCATTTTTCTAGATGTTATCCATGTTTTATTTCTCAATGACATGCAAGCAAACAACCAAATAAAGGATTTCAAGAAAAAAAAAGGTATTCACTTCCTTCCTGTCACATGAGTCTGTCAAGTTCCTACCCCTGCTAGTTTACAAACTTCCGTCAGTCACACAAAAGGAATAATGGAAAGATAAAGAGCTAACGCATGGAATTAATTGCTGTAAAATTATCGTTTTCTCCCTTTTATGGCATTATGTCTTGAAAGGGGCAGAATATTGAGACCCCTTTATTCAGTTTGGATGCGTTTCATTCTAATTGGTCAAGGACCCTACTTCTTTTTATGACTAGTAGCTTATGATTCCATTATAATGTTGAAATTCAGACAAGTATTGAGTTTACATTTACATTATTATATGAAATCACCTACTACAGTCAGCTATTGAATACTATGGGCCTAAAAAATGCGTAATTTTCTTTCAGGTACAAGGACCCTAATTCTTTTTATGACTTATGATTCCATTATAATGTTGAAATTCAGACAAGTAATGAGTTTACATTTACATTATTATATGAAATCACCTACTACAGTCAGCCATTGAATACTAGGGGCCTAAAAAACATGCGTAATTTTCTTTCAGGTATACCTTTTTTATTATATAGATGTAATATTTTCTTCATTCTATTTATTTTTATTTATTTATTTTCATTTAACTAACACACCTCTAAGAATGAAAATGCCTGCATGTTCAATAATAAGTAAATAAATAAACAAACAATCATGGGTGTAGCCTACACATGATAATTATTTAAATAATTATATATTTTAAAAAGAATATCATTAATTTCATGAAAATCAAGGACTTTTGTCAGGGTTAATCCATTAGACCTAATCAATATGTGTTTATTCATAAAATATGTGATATTTTACATATTTACATCACATGCAAATATGTTTATGTAAATTTATAAAACTACTTGTACATTCACTGCAGTACTCCTTTTAGGCTACTTATACTAAAACTGCTTACGTAAGGGAAAGTTCACCCAAAAATGGAAATTGTGTCATCATTGTGTCATCTTCAAGTTGCAAACCTATGAGATTCTTTCTTCTGTTGAGCACAAAAGAAGATATTTTGCAGAATGTTGGTAACCAAACAGTTAAATGCGTAATTTTCTTTCAGGTACCTTTTTTTATGATATAGATTTTTTTCATTCTATTTATTTTTATTTATTTATTTTCATTTAACTTTTTGATACACAATACCCTGTTGGGGCAACTTAATGGCTGCACTTTGTTCTGCACTATGTTCCACCACTTTAAGACAAATGGATTTGTTGTGTTTTCATATTCATGAGATTATAAGCTAGATGCTACTTTTTTTGGGTTTGCATCGAATGTTCTTCGACTTTTATGCATGATACATTTGTTTATGAATAAAGATTGATCTGTTGAAAGCAGTTATTTTGAGTTAGATGCAAAATGCTCTCCTTTTATTCAAATTTGACATTGAAGGTGTGCATACAACATATTTGCCCACCGACAACTATAGTAGCCGCACATTCAAATACGATTTTCAAGAAAAAAAAAGAAAAAAAACCTGGGGAAAATAAATGCAGAACATGTTCACATAGGACGCTATTAACATGACTATATGCATGAAACCATTCAGAAAAATTTGGGCACAAATGGGTTAATAGTGTTCATCGTCTGTTTGATCCATACCAATATCCAGCGACTACCAAATTGTCCCTAGCAATAATTTTGATCAAACAATACAAAAATATATGTTTTTGTAAATGTAGGTGCTTCTGAAATATGTCATACAATTTATCTTACTTAAGAAGTTAAAGTTAACACTTTAGAAAACTGTGCGGTTTTAAGGACGCACATTGAATGCACAGGGCGGAGTAGAGTTTTCTTTCAGAATCATCCTGGGTCCAATCTGATTAATATTAAAATAAAGTGGTGCATGATTAAGACACCCAGCGCTCTGATGCTGCTGTAATGTTGTTGGTTCACCACAAAATCAAAATTGTCTGTAAAACATACTAACATAAAAACAATAATAATACAAAAAATTATGTTTATGAATTATGAATATGTTGGCTACCATAATCTATAAATAAATACTTTAGATGGCATGCAACTGTGGTCAAAGGTGTGTGTGTGTGTGTGTGTGTGGGGGGGGGGGGGACATAGTCTGCTGTTATGTCCCCAAAAATGTCAAAAGCAAACCTACTCCCTTGTTTGAGATTAAACCACAGTTCTCATAAGTGCATCAGACCAAAAGATTGAATGATTCTGTAAATCCAGATTGTCCAAACATTTATGCTCAGTTTAATAATTCAGTAAACTAAGACTGCATGAAAAGGACAATTTAATAACTGTGACACGCACACTGTTTCATGTATTACAGTGCTCAACATTACAAAAATACAAGAATAATGGGAGGTGAAATTATGGCATATAATACATGTTTAATCAATAATTAAAATTGCAATGGTTCATGTCAATGAAAGCAATAAGAGTTGACTGTATTTTGCACTATAAAATGCAATCAATGAAAAGTGATGAAAAAGTAAAACTTATGAATTCCTATCTGTTTGAAACTACAGTGACAGGGAAGGGACATGTTCACTTCACTTAGTTTTGTCGTGGCCACGAGATCATTTTGTCGATTTGAAGTCATGGCCTCGAGATCCTTTTCTCATGGCCACGATTTCTAATGTTGAGGGAACAACATATTTTCCTCGTGGCCACGAGTTTAATGCGTAAACAGATGTGACCTTAGCAACCTGGGATTATCAGAAATTGATACTTTATTTTGAATGTTTTGTTTCATTCACATTTTAAAACGTGCAAATGAAACGAAACACTGCTAGTGTTTATAATTGTGGCCTATTAATTACTAGCCGAAACAGAATGAATATCTGTTAAATTCAACCTTTAAAGTGAACTTCCAGTAAAATCCCCGTAAGTGCACCAGAAATAGAGACTAATCAAAACTTTACTGGCATGTTGGGCATATACAGTATTTACAAAACATATTAAGTAATATTCAGAATATTAAGTAAAGAGATCGAAATGAAGGGAAAATAAAGCGAATACATAACAACAAATATACAAATATAACCAATAATAATAATAATAATAATAATAATAATATTCATTCATGATAACCTTATTTTTAGGGATGCACCGATACCACTTTTTCCAGTACTCGCCCGATACCGATACTTTTATTTTTGGTACTTGCCGATACCGAGTACTGATACCGATATTTTTATTGCATTTGTAAATTTTTTAAATATTGGGTACAGAAACCAAAAGAGTATGTATAATGTTAGTTGGTTAACTTCATTTATCAAATAGATACAGTCAAACCAAAATGTATTCAGACACCTTCAACATTTCTCACATTATCACAGTTTATTCGTTATAGTTTAGAAAATGGTAATAAAATATGACAAGAACTCAGAGTTAAACGGAGTCAGAACAAATTCAGCTTGATAATGTTAGATCATTTTGATAGAAAGGTATGTAATAGATTACAATCAACCAAAAATTAGACAGCTGTTAGTATGACAGTATTTACACAACCATCAATACTTAGTCGGGCAACCCTTAGCCTTAATGACAGCCTGACAGCCTGGCAGTAATGACAGTAGTCTCCTGGGCATGCTGCCACCCAGCTTCATGCAAACCTCAACTTCAGTTTATTCCCAGACTCGGTCTGAATAATTTTTGGACTCAAATTTGTATCAATTTTACTGGTAGTCCACTGTATGAAGAATTGTTGGGTATGATTTGACACAGTTTACTTTATTTGGCTATCCTCACTTACATAAATGAACTATAGTGTCCTACACACTAGTAAAAAAATATCCAAAATTATATCTGGTCTCTGAATAATGTTTGGTTTGACTGTATATCCTTCGGTTATTTTCAAAGCCACTCATATAATGCAGAAACACTCAAGCGAGCAAAACACGCGCAACGCGTGCACATATTTGTACTGGTGCAGAATGAAAGGACAGTAGTACAGCGCATTTCACACAGGCTGCTAGATTCACTT